TATTTTTAATGTAACCATATATGGAAGCCGGAAGGGCTCATAGAACTCTTTGTCTTGAAAACATATTTAAATTATTTAGAGCCATATTTAGAGCCTTGGTAGTACAGTGGTCTAAAGCACCCTGTTATTAAGAACAGCTGCCTGCAATTACTGCAGGTTTGAATCTCGCCAAGGCTCAAGGTTGACTCAGCCTTCCATCCTTCCTAAGTAGGTAAATTGAGGACCCAGTTGTGGGGGCCATAAGCTGACTTTGTATAAATATACAAAAGAATGAAGGCTATTGCTTAGCGCATTGTAAGCCGCCCTGAGTCTCCGGAGAAGGGCGGCATATAAATCAAATTTAAAAAAAATCATGAAATCATAATTAATCCTTGTTCAGATTTGCTAGAACCAAACACTGCACTGAACCTTTGCGCAAATAAATGAATCTGTCTGACCCAGGAATGTGTTTCAGCCTTTCATTTTCGACAACATTTTCTGGCGTTACCACGAAGGGACTGAAGGACAAAGACGTTTTGTTCTGCCTTGATAGCTGCTCCGGCAGGGACCGACGCCTTCCCAAGGAAAATCCACAGGCCGGCCACAAAGACTCCATTGAAGTCTACGGAATCTTTCGGTGAGAAGACACCATGAACCCTGCTGCCAGACGCAGACCAGTCAAGGATCCTCAGGTCAGACCAGATTCATACCTCTCCACAGATGGCCACCAGGACAGAAGAAAAGCCAGCAGGCAAGTATAAGTAAAAAGGGTTACTTACCAATTTAGTGGTAGAAGAGGGGGTCTAATCACCCCCCTAGGAGACAAGGTGTCGTCCTAAAACCTCCAGTAAGGAATTTTTTGGCGTGGGTGATTAAACCTCTGCGGTTCTCATAGACGACTGTCGGAACATCCAGCATCGTGAGCCAGGGGTAGTGTTGTTAGAATGGGTGGAAGTAATAGTGTCCCCAGGACACCATTACAATGCATGTTAGCCAATTTTAAGAGTGCCTATAGTGGAACTTATGGTGATTCCCCGTGTGATCCCAAAACCTTGAAGATGTTGTGTAAAAGTACCTGGCCTGCCCTTGGCATAAGGTGGCCAGAAGAAGGGTCATTGGATCCAATAGTGATATCCAAGGTACATCGGATCATTACCCGGGAGGGCCATTGGGACCAATTTCCATACATAGATCAGTGGCAGATTGCTCAAAAGGCAGCCCCCTCTTGGCTTAAGAAATGTCAGCAGGAATGTGTGAAATTGTGTTTGATGAAAGAGAAAAATAGAACCAACAGAAAGATATTTAAAAACAAAGTTTTCAGTCAGGAGGAGGAGGAAGAAGTTAGTCACCCTCCCCCATATGCACCACATCCCGCAACCCCAAGACAAAACCCCTATCCACCCTTGCCAGCCCCAAGACAAAACCTCTATCCACCCTTGCCAGCGGATAAGGTGCCAAAGACCAGCCCCCCCAGAAACACCAACTACAAGCCAAACGGGAAGTCAAGAGTGATGGGGAAGAAGAAAGAGAAGAAGAATCTAAACCCATTAGTTCTCGAACTCGGAGCCAGACGAGTTTGAAGAAGGCAGAAACTCTGGTCCCCTTGAGGGAGCTTTTAAGTCATGGAACTGATGCCCAGGGACTGCCCATCATTCGTCCCTTGTTTCAATATCAGCCATTTACAACTACAGATCTACTTAATTGGAAGCAGCAATATGGCCCGTTTAGCAAAAAGCCCAATGAAATAGTGGATCTATTCAGTACAATAATGCAAACTCATAGACCCACATGGGGAGACATTCAGCAATTATTAAACACCTTACTCTCCTTAGAGGACCGAGAAAAATTCAAAACAGCTAAGAAAAAAGTTTTAACCCAAATGTTTCCAGGTAATGGAAATGCTGTACAGAAAACAGAAGCAGCTGCAGAAGTTGACCCCAAATGGGACCCCAATAGTACCCAACACCAGCCTCTATTAGATGCCTACCGCCTCTTATGCATAAACGTTTTAAGAGAGGCAGCAAAAGGTCCTGTTAATTATGCCAAAACTGTTACTATACTCCAAGAAAAAGATGAAAGCCCTAAGATCTTTTTGACTAGATTAGTAGAATCCTATAAAATCCATACTGGGATAGACATAGAAGATGTGACAAATAGATACCTGTTGAATGAATGATTTATCAGTCAAAGTGCCCCGGATATCAGGAGAAAATTACAGAAATTGGAAGGAACTCTAGGAAAGAACACCAGTGAACTCCTAGAAATTGCCAGAAAAGTTTACCTAAATAGAGATAGAGAAGAAGAAAAGAAGCAAGTTATTAGAGAAAGAAAGAAGACTGAAATGTTAGCTTTGGCCCTGGGAGGAGTTACTTTAGGAGCCAACCAATGTGCCATCTGTAAAGAAGAAGGACATTGGCAGAGAGAGTGCCCCCATAGAAGTACAGGATCAAGAGGAGTATCCTATGGGCGTGGGCGACCTATGTTGAGAGGAAGAAGTTTTAGAGGGACCCCGAGAGGAGCTTTAAGAGGAAGAAGAGGTACAGACAGACAACCCAGCCAGCAGTACCAGAAGGAGGAAGTAATCGGCCTAGCCAAGATGGAATGGAATGACTGAAGAGGCCAGGGCCCCACGGACCCACCCCTGGAGCCCATGATGGGAGGACGTCAAGTCCGCATGATGATTGATACCGGAGCCAGTCGATCAGTAATTAATCAACAAGTGGCCTCCTTATCAAAGGAGAAAGTCAGAGTCCAAGGAGTGTCAGGCACACCAGCCACACACAGCCTACTGAAACCGGTTAAATGCAAGGTTGGGAATGGCCTAGTAGAACACCAATTCTTGTATATGCCTGAATGCCCAGTTCCGCTGTTAGGAAGAGATCTACTTTTTAAATTGAGAGCCACCATTTCCTTCAATGATAATGGACAGTACTTGACAGTGTCACATCCAGTGGAAGAAACTTGGTGATTAATGTTAATGCAAGACTCAACTCAGGAAAGTATATGGAAAGAATTTAACGTTCCTACCCTGTGGGCAGAGGACAACCCCCCTGGGCTAGCTAAATTTGCCTCCCCAGTAGAAGTTAAACTGAAATTGGGATACAAGCCCATTAGAGTACCCCAGTATTATGTTCCTCAAGAAGCGGCAGAAGCCATTCAAGTTTTAATTGACAAATACTTAGCCGCCGGGATACTTAGAGAAACTCAATCCCCATGGAATACAGCAATTTTGCCCATAAAAAAACCGGATGGGGGGTGGAGACCGGCACAAGATTTATGACCCATCAATAATGCTGTGGTCATGCTACATGCAATAGTCCCAAATCCCTACATTTTGTTGGGGACCATCCCTCATTCAGCCGCATGGTTCTCCGTCATAGACCTGAAAGACGCTTTCTTCACTATATCCTTACACTCTGATAGCTAAGACTTGTTTGCCTTTGAGTGGAAAGACTCTAAACTGTGAAGACATTGTCAGTATACCTGGACAAGATTACCCCAAGGCTTTGAGAATTCTCCTACCCTTTTTGGGCACGCCTTGGCTCTGGACTTGCAATACTTCCAACCTGTTCAAGAAGGGGACTGTCTCCTTCAGTATGTAGATGATGTGTTAGTAACAGGAACCACTCAGGATAACTGTTTCAAAAATACCCAAACCCTCCTTGAATTACTGAAAGACTGTGGATACAGAGCTTCAAGGAAAAAGGCTCAATTAGTAAAGAAAGAGGTTACATATTTGGGATACACTCTGTCTCAAGGTCAGAGAAATTTAGGCTTGCCTAGGAAACAGGCGATCTTGCAACTGCCCCTGCTGAAAAATCGAAAAGAACTGTGAGGCATTTTGGGAGTCATGGGCTTTTGTCGCTTATGGATACTCAATTTTGCCTTACTTTCCAAACCCCTGTACGCTTCAACCCGGGGAGCAGAAACAGACCCGTTTGAAGGGAGCAAAGAACAAACGAATGCATTAAGTCATTTAAAGGAAGCACTTACATCCTCTCCAGCGTTAGGGTTGCCAGACCTTTCCAAACCCTTCCGTCTTTATGTAGATGTCCGTCAGAATGTGGCACTAGGGGTATTAACTCAACAGCAAGGATCATGGCAACGGCGGGTGGCTTATTTGTCCAAACAGTTGGACAGCCCGGCTCAAGGCTGGCCACACTGTCTTAAAATTTTGGCCGCTGTGGCAGAACTTATGAGAGACACAAACAAACTAACTTTTACCTCAGAAGTAGCAGTTTACACATCCCATGCATTGCAAACTATCCTAGAAAACAAAGGACACTTGTGGATAAGTAACCAGAGATTGCATAAATATCAGGCTCTGCTGTTAGAAAACCCCCAGATAAGTCTTCACCAATGTGCCACTATTAATCCAGCTACTCTCATGCCTGTACCTGATACATCCTTCCCGCTGCATGACTGCCTACATGTGTTAGATCATCAGTATTCCTGTAGACCAGACTTGACTGACACCCCTCTTCCAAATGCCCAGCTTACCTGGTTCACTAATGGCTCAAGCTTTATGGAAAAAGGAGCTAGTTATGCAGGATATGCTATAGTTAGCCAACACGCAGTTATTGAAAGTGCCCCTCTTCCAGTGGGTACCAGTGCCCAAGCAGCTGAGTTGTGGGGACTCATCCGAGCATTAGAATTAGCCACAGAGAAGACTATTAATGTGTACACGGACAGTAAATATGCCTTTTTGACTATTCAAGCACATGCGGCTATTTACAAGGAAAGGGGCTTTACAGGCAAATCAATCCAACATGCCCCTTTAATTAAAAGGTTGATTTCTGCTGCACAATTTCCCAAATCCTTAGCTGTCATCCATTGTCCGGGTCATCAGAAGACGGACACACTCATTGCACAAGGCAATCGATTTGCTGATAGAGAGGCCAAATTGGCAGCACACCTGCCCCTGGATAGGAATGATTATTATCTCTATATGGCACAAGAAATTGAATCCTACATTGAAAGATCTTATCCCACCTACACTCAGGTAGAGAAGGAAAAAGCCGAAGGAGATTTGAAAGCCAATCTGGTGAAGGGATGGTATACCCTTCCAGACAATTGCCTAGTGGTACCAGTTTCACTCGCCTGGCCTTTAGTATCAGAGACACACCAAACCTCACATAGTGGCAAAACGGCTTTGGCCCAACAGTTGCAAGCAACATTCTACATACCTAACTTGCAGAATCTGGTTGCCAAAGCAACTTCCCAATGTCCTACGTGCGCACAAGTAAATGCTAAGCAAGGACCGCGTTTACCACCAGGACAGCAGCTTACTAGTCCTACTTACCCATGGATTATTTAATGGTGGATTTTACTGATATGCCCAAATGCAATGGTTATAAAGCGCTGCTCATTTTCATTGACACTTACTCTGGATGGATTGAGGCCTTCCCCACTCGAAATAAGTTAGCTATACAAATAGCACGCTTTCTTTTAAAGGAAATAATCCCTAGATTTGGATGTCCATCTACCATCAGCTCTGACAATGGCCCAGAATTTGTGCAACGTATAAATCGCCACTTGGCTGAAGCTGCAGGCCTGAAATGGCGGTATCACTGTTCGTTTCGGCCAGAATCGAGAGAGAAGATTGAATGTGCGAATCGATCATTGAAAGCAATCATTACAAAACTGTGCTTAGAAACCCACTTGCCATTGCTTCAAGTTTTCCCCATGGCCTTGTACATTTTTAGAACAGCCCCTCAAACCAAATACCAGCTGTCTCCTTTCGAACTTCTGTATGGGAGATCCCCTGCCTTGTTCAAGCACCACTTTCAAGGCTGGCCAGATTTAGTTCAAAAAGTGGGGGTAGAAGCAAGAAAATTACTTTTGCAGTTACAACAGCACAACAATCATGTCAACAAACTGAGGCATTATATGCAGGAATGTAGACCTCCCCCTATTACAACTACAGGTCACAACTACAAACCTGGTGATAGAGTATGGATAAAACATTGGAAAAATGAGCCTTTAAAACCTAGATGGAAAGGGCCATATACTGTTGTGATGTGTTCACCTCTTGCAGTTAAGACCTTGGAAGGAAGATCCTGGATCCACTGGATGAGACTGAAGCCCGCAGACCAGAGTGATCCAGTCACATACCAGGTGACAAAAACTGACAGGCCCTTGGTGTTGAGGTTTAAGAAGAATACACCCTGCTGAGTCCTACCGGCAATGGACTCTCAATGCATGGTGGTGATCGTCAGCCTTGCTGAACCACCCCGGAAGCTGGTTCCCAGCGCACGGCCGAAGCTTGGAACGGAGAAAGACAACATTCCAAGATTGTAAATTGTAATGTAAAACCCATTAACAGTGATAGTATCCAGTAAGCACTTATTAAAAACACACTCATGGTTGAGGAAGATTGGGTGTGGAGACTCTGGGCCACCACTGGTTTAGTACTTCTGGGGGTATTGTTTTATATATATAAGGACCAACTCTGTGGGAAACCTAGGGATCCGATTGATATTGACCTCACCCAAGTTACGTATACTTCTAAATCTCTTCCTGACCTGGTGAATTTGTAAACTTCGGGTCTTGCGCTCTTAAGGTCCTGTGGGTGTGGGAATAAGGTCACTATGATTTATTTAGGGATGTGGGTACTATTAGCCAAAGGTCTAATGAGTGATGCTAGCTTGAACAGTAGTTCCCCATGTTGTGTGGATGTTCAAGAAATTCCCCTTGTCCCTGTAGAAGGAATTAAAGATGTCAAGAATCCCAGGGGAACTAACAGCATCAGGACACTGAATGGGGACACTTTGGGTAAAGTCCACTCCCGCCAACAGCATGGTATCATAAGGTGGGGAGGGAGCCTTAGACCTAAACCAACTCCTAGACCTGAGGTCAAGAGTTTAACAATCCCAGTACCTGGGGGAATAGAAAAGGAGAGCGGGCCCATGCAACAACTAAGAAGAGGAGACTACATATCAAGGATACTGGAATTGGGTCAAAACCTTGTCAATCAGTATGACCCTAACCTAGGTCAAAAATGCTGGTTGTGTTTATCTGCTAGCCCCTCATCTTATCATGCCATTCCTGTCAATCCACAACTCTGGGCTAGGACAAAGGCTACAATAGTCCTTGAAAAAGATAGTAGGAACAAAGCACCAGTATCTCCGATACAAGGAGATTTTTATAAGGCATTCCAACAGCTGGGAAAAAGCCGCCTCCCTATTGCTGGCCCAATAGCCACTGGTGTGGAACTCATAGGAACACCTTCACTGTGTGTAAAGAGATATCAGAAACCTGGTAGGCCTATAGGATCTCTCACAGAAGAACAATGTCCATCAGAAGTTTCCTTTGGTCCTAAAACAGACCTTATGGATGTAAAACTAACCAAAGATCTTTTTCCTTCTGCACATCACTCATCTCATCATAAGGTCACTTTCTCACTACCACCTAGTGCGACCATCACAAGATGGGGAGGATGGAAGGGATCCGGGAATGCATCCCAGGAAAGGTGCCCCAGTCTATTCCAACCCCCTCGCTTCCCTATCTGGCTCTCCATTACATCCAGCACAGGCTTATGTATCCTCTTTCCCCCTGGGGAAGATATCCTCCCGATATCTTCTAGAAGGCCCAATCCTCAGAGATAAGCAAAGGGACCCTTCACTAGAAGTCCCATTACAGCCCCTGGCTGGAATGTTTGTGGCAGGGACTTTGGGGGTCTGGACTAATGAAAAGAACCATCGGACCCATGCTTTCTCCATGAACATAGGCGTGTGTGTAGGGGAAAAGGGAGTTTTCTTCTTCTGCGGAAAAGATGCCAACAAATTGGACTGGAACATGCACACTAGTACACTTTTTTCCTAAAATAGGTGTTGTCAGTGGAGAACATACCATCCCTGTTCCTGTCATGGGGCATGTTCAAAAACGGGTACCAATCCTAGTCCCACTATTAGTAGTCATGGGAATAGGTACTGCTGTAAGAACAGGTATAGGTGGTGTAACACACTCAGTAATACAGTTTCAGCAATTATCAGAAGAATTCCAAGAAAGCCTGAATCAAATAGCTGGGACCCTGGTAGAAGCCAAGACCAGATAGATTCATTGGCAGCAGTGGTCCTACAAAATCAACGTGCCTTAGACCTTCTAACCACAGAGAGAGGAGGTATGTATATATTTCAGGGAGAAGATTGTTGCTTCTACATGAATAAATCAGGTGTGGTCACAGGAATTGCCAAGGAATTGCAGGATAGGGCATCCAAGATAGGTCAAAGATTACAAACATGTGGTTTTCTTGGGTGCCTGGATCTGGGTGGATTAAACAAATGTTATTTTTGTTGATTTGTGCTGTGGCGGGCCTAGCTTTTATTCCTTGTGCAATCCCTGTGCTAAGACAGCTATCTATCAGAGCAGTGAAAGAGATACAGAATGAGAAGGCGTTCGTGTTGACAGAGCGCTTTCTTGAAGAAAAAGTTCCTGAAACAGACACATATGTCGAAATGGGGTCGGGGAGAGAATGGAGGGAATACCTCCATAGATTAGGAGAATAAAACATCCAGACAGACCTATATCTTGCCTAGATTAATTTATGTTGTGTATTGTGTGGAATATTATATATTAGCTTTGCGTATTAAAGGACATAGAGTGTTGTGTAAGAAGTAATGAAAGTTTATGCATGGAAAAACTTCCATAAGGGGGGGAAATGAGGTAATTATAGCCAATAGCAAATAAGGTGAATAAAAGAAATCATCATACCAAGTCAGATAACATAAAGTCAGATCAAATATATGAACTTTGAATAACCTTCTCTATTAAACTTTGAGAGAACTTATCTATTCACGTGAGTATACGTGCTTGTTAAAGGCAGTTGAACTTCATTATTGGTAAATATATCTTCTGATGAGGCCCAGCTGTCATCCATCCGGTCATGGATGTCCCTATAATTACTTGACCTATGGCCCTGTGTCAAACACACTGATTCTATACATCTTCTTAATAGAATCAAAAACTACGGAAATTCAGATATATGTGAACATCCAAACGGATATACATGGGAGACAGAAGGTTACTTATTGTTTAGCCATAATTTCTGCATTTAAACATAACAGCACTTAAAGGAAAGTTGTAAACTATAAAGTGATGGGTTCAGTAAAGTTGTAATAGTTTAATTATGAGTAAATGATGGAGTACTAAAAATGTGTAGCCAAAATAATTTTATTAACTAGTATGTAATGGTTTGGTAATTAGTAAAGTGTAATGTAAGTATAATGTATTTTTAATGTAACCATTTATGGAAGCCGGAAGGGCTCATAGAACTCTTTGTCTTGAAAACATATTTAAATCGTGAAATCATAATTAATCCTTGTTCAGATTTGCTAGAACCAAACACTGCACTGAACCTTTGAGCAAATAAATGAATCTGTCTGACCCAGGAATGTGTTTCAGCCTTTCATTTTCCACAACAATACAGTCTTTTTTTCTTCCTAGTATTTTCTCCGTAAGTGCAGGCTGCAGTTTTTTCATGCATCACTAGAATTAAAATGCTAGTTTCAGTAGATTCCCTGTTGATGTGGAGTAATATAACATTCTGATTTATTTAGAATGATATCTGTCATGCCCCAACATATAATCTTTATACTGTTGTTGCTCTCTAGCCTCATCTAGTGTCTGGAAGGACAAATACCAATTATATTGTTTGAAGCTGACCCAGCCACTTTACCCATCAGCCTGCACGCTCAAAATAAGTGCACGCTGGGAAGCCAACTCCATTTTCCTTTAGCGTTTGGATGAGGTAGAAACACAAAGAAAAATCCATCTTAATCGGTGGCACATGTTCATCCAAGGAGAAACCCACATCCCACACACAGAGGATTGCTGGTGAGATTTAGATTATTTATATTTATTAATTGCTATGTTCAGCAGTAACTCAATACTGCCTATCTTGTATTTGGTTCTCGTTGTATGTATTCCTATTTTCCCCAGTTATACCATATCCTATTCTTTCAATGAAGCATCCAGATCTGCCCACATGGTCTGTTTTCTTGCAAGATAGGTGGGTTTAGCTGCATGTTGAGCTGCACATAGACTAACGTGTAGTGAGGACAGAACAATATCAAACACGAGATTAATATGTCATTCAAATCTGCCCCATATTGGCAAAGGTAGGCCGTATTTGCAGCATACTGTGTGCACACAGAAGAAATTAATCTCAGATTGAAGCATTTCTTGAACAAAAGCTATTGCTTCAAAATATGAAAGCAGTCAGGTAAACAGAAAAACTGTTTCCCTCGAAATAGCTTTTGACCATATTTGGTTATGTACTTTCAAAATCTATAAATAAGTCTGTGTGGTAAACCAGAATAGATAAGATCTGAACTAGTATTTTAATTTTCCTCATATTAAGAAAAATCATTTTCCCACAAAAAGAAGCTATCAACTTCTTATCACATAGTTGGAAATACATCTGTATCTGTAAGAGTAATATATTTGCAAACTATTCAGCTACTGAAACTATACTGAACTACAGACATCATGCCAGCAAAGACTGAAAGAAGGAAAAAGAAAAAGGATCCACTATTGCAGAGATTGGCTGGATCATAGATCAAAAGCCATAATTTGATTTTTTTGGCATTGACAGTGTCAGATAGGGTTTAATTAGCATTAAGGCTGTAGATTGTGGCTTAAAAAATATCATGATGGATACTTAGCAAGATGGATGAATCAAAATGCAATTATTCCAAGAATGCTATTCCCCCCCCCTCCTCCTTTCTTCTTCTTCTGGCATCATCTATCTCCTGTCTTCAATACAATTCTTTCAGCAGTCCCAAGATTTACACCCATTTATACTCTGTTTCAGATGACTCTGAGAGTACAGATAAACCTCCAAGTGGCCTCAAAGAGTTTCAGAGAACTAATGACTGACCCCTCAGAGTGCTAATGATCAGATGACTGCAAAAAATATAAATCCTTCCATTTCCCACTAATCAATTAGAACTGAAGAAGCTTCTTGGATGAGAAGCAAGATGTTTTCAAAGGAAAAAAAAAGAAAATCCAGTTGCCTTTTGGAAATAGCATGATCTGGATAATTGAGAATCTCCATAGGCAAAGTGCAACTAATGTATAGTGATTAAGAGGTTGGATTAGGAGTGAAAGAACCAGGTTTAGATCCATCCTAAGACATGGAAAGTGCTGATCGTTAGGCCTGTCACTTTCTTTCAGCTGACTCATCTCACAGGATTCTAGTTATGGAAAAAGATAATGCTGTGTATGTCACATTGTTCTAACAAGCAAACAAATAAAAATAGGAAGGATGTTTAGCCGAAGAAACATGAAAAGGCTTATTTTTCCTTGGTGAGAAGGGAATCCTATCATTATTAATCAAAAACATAACACTCTGAACTTTAGCAGATTC